ACTCGCTCTCACTCTTTTTGTCTTGTTCTCCCACATTTCTTTTCTTTTCTTTCTTTTTTCTTAGCATGCCAAGTGTCAAGTGGCCGTTAAGGCCCTTTTCTAGGCCCTTCCTCTTAGTTTTGGCCCTTCCTATGCCCAAGGTGCAGTCCGTTGTATCTCGAACTGCAATAATGGCCTTCTCATGCTCATGGAAGCTTCCCTCTCCCTCTATTATTTTCCCATAGTGGCCCCTCCTACTTCGATTTTCTCCCGGAGGCCTATTTTTCTCATGGGGTCTCTTTTAGCTCCATTTTGTTAAGGGAGGCTGATCCGAGATTTTTCGGATTGCTCCCATGCCTCCCACTTCAAGTTTCTTTACTTTTTCTTTTTCTTTCGGCCTTCCCGTTTGCTACCGCTAGTGCTTGCACTAGCGGTGCTAATATTTATTTGGCCGTCAAGATCTTGATCTTGACGGTGCATCGTCTTAATTATTTTCCCCACATGTGGCGCCGCCGTTTCTTCTTGAGACCTTCACGCGTCTCGCCACTTGTCCCATCGGCAGTCCCCGACACTTAGTCCCGCCGGTGGTCCCCGACACTGTCCCGCCGGTGGTCCTCGACACTTAGTCCCGCCGGTGGTCCTTGACCCTTAGTCCCGCCGGTGGTCCCCGACACCTAGTCCCGTCGGTGGTCCCCCACACTTAGTCCTGCCGGTGGTCCCCGACACATTTTGTCTCGGATACCATTATTTTTACTTAGCCCCACGTGGCCCCTGGTGCCTTTCCCCAAGGTGTCCCACGTTCGTTGGGCGTTTGCCGCCCCACGATGATCCCTCTCCTTTGTCTTTCTTGCGCCTTGCGCTCGTTGGTTCCTTCGGCCGTGGGGCCTCCAACCTGGGGCCCCCGTTAATTGTCGTAGGTGACCCTCATGTTGGGCCCTTATTCTCTAGCTCCCCACGGCCTCCGGGGCCGTCCGCCTCTTGACTTCCTCGCTCTTTTGTCGCTGCTGTGCCTTGTTCGCCGGTCAATGGCCCCTTGGCCTTAGTCTTGCGGAATTCCAACGACCCTCCTGGGCTCATGCTATGTTCTATATGCCCCTGTCCTCACACTTACTTGCTTGCCATCGCTAATCCTTTCCCTGACGGTTCCCGACCCAGGGCATCATTCCTTCCGATGGCTTAGACCCTTGTCTTTTCTCTCTCTTTTCTCCTTACTCCAGATTTCTCTGTCGTGCACAATCTAGCTATATACAGTCTCTCGAGTGACGGGATGTTATTCGAGACCCACCGATCCCGACACATTCCCCCCACTCATTCGTGATGTCCTCATTGCGCACCAATCTTCTGTCAGTGGTGGTTTGGAGGGATAAACGAGAGAGGGGGACGGAATGTCATAGGTGGTTAATTTGTCAGGGTCCGTTTTGTCTTTTGTTGTTCCTTTCTCAGATTTCTTCTATTCTCCGGTCCTCGGAGCGGGAAGAGGCGTGTAGGATTCAAGCTTTCTTTGTCCCTCAGGCTTCCTATGTCTCATTCGTCACTCTTAGAACATCAAATCCCTCTCGTCTCGTTCGTCACGCTTAGAACATCAAACTCCTTTCGTCTCATTCATCACTCTTAGAACATCAGATCCTTTTCGTCTCGTTCATCACTCTTAGAACATCAAACCCCTTCCGTCTCGTTCATCACTCTTAGAACACCAAACTCCTTTCGTTTCATTCATCACCCTCAGAGCATCAAACCTCTTTTCGTCTCAATCATCACCCTAAGAGCATCAAACCTCCTTTCAACTTTCCTCATTTCGCTGCCCCTGCTTCTCCCCTGAGCCTTGCCATCCCAAGCGCCCCTTTGGCTGATCCTCCTTCCATCCTTTAGGAACGTAAGAGGTTAGCATACGTCTTCCTCCAACTGAAATACCCCTCGATATCGTGGCATTCCTCTAGGATTAGACTGCAAATCTCCTCATTGTTTGGTATGCATAGTCTGCCATGCACGCCCGTCTTCTCAAACAACAGTCCTTGGGTCATCCTATAGTCTGGAACTTCGTGTGGTGTCGTCTGCACCTTGTTTATTACTTGACTATAGACAGGATCACTAGCGTAACCGATTCTAATCCTTTCTTGTAACTCGGCGTGTGCGTCTAGATATGTCACTATGGGACTGAAGAAATCAGATCGCCCTCTTAGTGCATCAACGAATTGTACTTTCCCTTTACTGGCTTAAGTTCAAAGTCAAACTGATCTATCTCCCCAGCCCACCTTGTCAACTTAGTTGTCATCCGGGCTCGGGTCTTTAGCCAGCGAAGTGTCTCATGGTCTGAATATACTTTGAAATGCCGTCCTAGGAGGTAATGCCGCCAATGGTTCACGACTTCTCTAATAGCAAACAACTCTCTTTCGTACGTGGAAGCGACGACCTTCTCACTAGGTAGTCTACATGACATAAACTCGACAGGTCTGTATCCATTACTGTTATTCTGCTGGAGCACAACACCAATCCTGTACTGACTGACATCAGTGGTAACTATAAATGGCAAAGATGTATCAACAATCTTTAAGACCGGGTACTCTATCAAGCTTTTCTTCAAACGGCTGAGGTGCAGTCCTTATCCCATTTCTAGACTATTTCCTTCCTCAGTAGCCTACGCAATGGAGGAACTATTACGGTAAAGTTTCGTACGAACTTGCGGTAATAGTTGGCCAGACCAAGGAACGACCCTAGTTCCATCAATGTATGCGGTGTCGGCCAGTCTATGGTTGCTGCTATCGTAGCGTCCTCCGATTTGATTCCATCTCCATCCAACACGTCCCAAATACAACACCTGACGCTTAGCCCATTCACACTTCGTTGGGTTCAACTTAAACTCAACTTCACGCAACTTGCTTAGTATTAATTGAAGGTGCTGGTCGTGTTATTATTACTACTTGAAAATCATAATATCATTTAAATATACAACGACGAATTTGTCTAGCCAATCACGAAAGAGTTCATTCATACAAGCTGGAAGGTAGCAGGGGCATTAGTCAAACCAAATGACATGACCACAAACTCGTAGTGTCCATGTTGAGTTCTAAAGGTTGTCTTGTGCTGATCCTTAGGCAATACCTCAATCTGATGATAGCCTGATTTCAAGTGTATCTTCGAAAAATACTTACAACCCTACACTCTACCCAGAAGGTCGTCTATCTGTGGTAATGGCTCAACATTCTTTATCGTTATCGCGTTCAAACCCCTATAGTCTATACACATATGCATGTTGCCTTCTTTCTTCGGCACAAACAAGATCGGTGTGCCATACGACGAGGAAATTGGCTTAATCCACCCTTTCTATCAGTTCATCTAACTGTTTGCGCAACTTATCGAGCTCCTTGGGAGACATCCGATGGATGGGGCCCTTGGGAATCTGACTACCGGGTTCTATATCTATTCGGTGCTTTGTTTCCCTCTCAACTACTCCACTTGGGGCCTCTCCCATGCCAGCGAACTCGTCCAACAAATTCTGCACATTGGGTGGTATGGGCACTTCTTTTTGTTTACCCTCAGTAACCGGTCTCACATAGGCAACGAACACTTGCGCGACGAGGTCATTCTTGATGATGTGCCCAACGAATGCGGGGGCGCTCGTACAACAAAAGGACAAACTACTCTCTACGCCAGATGCATGATACAAACACAGTTTCTTTTTCCCACCTATGGGACTGGGCAACCATTACCCGTGCTCGCCCATCTTAATGTCGACATACACGGCGTTGCCCTAGTCAATGCCTAATATCATGTCAAAAGGAAGACTATCATCCAACTAAGAGTGTCAGGGAGTGCAAAACTTTCTCTACCTTTCCCCCTGCCTCCAATTGGAAGTATGCCTTGACTCCGTACTCACACACTACCATTTCTCTATTATCCGCCAATTGACCAGCTCCTCTCGCTTCTTCACCTTCATGCCTAGGTGCATTCTCTACAACCCTCTTCTACTTACATAATTGCGTGTTGACCCACTGTCTACTAACGCGCCTATTAGTTGCCCCTTTGACTTCTTCTTCATTTCGGCCTAAGCGTGGCGATGAGTGATCAATTCATCACCAATGCTTGCGAGGGAACCACGTAGAGGGGTCCTAACACAAGTGACCTCTAGACAACTAACTAGGTGGGGGCCTACATTAGTCTTTGCCATTGGGACCTTCGAACAGGACGATGCCTTTTCAACGCGCGCTTCTATCTTCCATGTCTGAGTCCGAAGTCCCCTAGAGGCAACTGCAACCTCTATTGGTTCCCTTTTGGGTATCTATACTTAGGGCAGAAGGGAACAATGTGGTCAGGGTCACCACACTTAAAACGCTGGTTGGCCTTGCGATGGTCGGCCCAAACCTTCCCGTGTATTCCCATTTGCTCCCAAGGTTTGCCTTCGGCTATCCTCGGGTGTGCTGGGTACGGTCGCCAACTACTGCCTCTACCTCTACCCCCTATGAAGGGAGAATCACTACCACCTTGTGAGTGACCATAGCCCCTATTTCCCACGTAGTAGCTTCCTTCGCCACCACCCCTCTGGCAGTGGGTCCTCGACCTCCACCTCGTCCTTGGCCTCCTCTACCTTGGCCTTTACCTTGTCGCCCTCCCTCACAGGCTGCAACTGCCACATAGTCGCCTTCCCGGGCTCCTTGGCTGTTGTTGTCCTCGTCTAAACCATGATCTATCTGGTCATACGGTAAAGACTCTACACCTCTTTCTCCAAAGCTGACCAAGAGACTATCTTTCCCTTCTATACTACCGGATATGGTTCTGTTCTTCCATCTTTTCCCTTCCTACAAGTCCTTCCAATAGTGGCAATGGTTTGCCCATTGAGGACTTCTTCAAGGCCTTGAAAGATCGCTTCGAGGATAAGAACGTAGCGCGTCGAACATAACACCTCATCCTTAAGTGGAAGAGTGCATCGGCACTCAAGGCCACTATGGACGAGCTACTGCAATGTCCGGATCATGGACTTACCCCCGCCCAGATACTAAATAACTTCGCTCCAAAGAATCCTGCAGAAGGAACGGAGAAGGACATGATTTCGCCAGATCGGAAGGAACGGGGGATTTCCCCGTTGTGGTGAACGATCTGCGCGAGGGTGTTGAAGCTGAGGTTATCGGGGGTGGTGTCGTAGCAGGTGTGGTCGATTTGGTTGTTGTCCTCAAGGAGGTAGTTGGGGGGGAGTTGTGGCATTGCGGGGTAAGCCCCGGAGGTGACTTGGGAATAGGTGGGATGGATGGTGGGGATGGTGGAGGTGGTCATGATGGGTTGGGAGAGGGTTTGGGAGTGAGGGGGGGGAAGAGGGGTGACGTGGATGGGTGAGGAATGAGGCGGTGTGCTGGATGCGCCGGATGAGGGAGGAGGTGGAGGGAACGGAACGGTGGTGGAGGTTGAAGGGTTGGTGGATGTGGTGGTAGAGGTGGTAGGAGTGGAGGAGGTTGGCGGGGGGTTGTTGCTGGAGGCGGCTCTGGAGGAGGGAGTGGTTTGCGTTGTGGAGGATGGAGTGGTTTGCGTTGTGGAGGAGGGAGTGGTTTGCGCGGTGGTGACGACCGTGATGGAGGGGATGGTCCCTTCGATCGTGGTGACGCGGTCGCATATGGATGACATGTTGGCCTTTTTGTCGTCGAGAGAGGCGGTGACGGAGGTTCGGAGGGTGTTGAGTGCGTGGAGGATGGCGGAGAGGTCGGGGGTGGCGGTGTTTGCTGGTGGTTGTTCGCCTGCGAGGTTGCGGGCGATGTTATCGACTGAGTCGGTGCGGATGTCAGACATGTTGATGGAGGATGCGGCCATGTCGGGGGAAGAGGGGGTGGAGGACGTGGCCTGAACGGGTGTGGAGGATGCAGCAGCAGCGGTGGCGGTGGCAGCAGCGGCGGCGTTGGCAGCAGCACGTTGGGAGTTCTTGGTTTGGCGTGGTGGCATGTGGAGGGTGGGGGGGGCAATCCCTTATTTATTTATCAATAAATTCAAAAATAAAGATAATCGCCAATTTTTTTTTTTTTTTGGAAAGTAGGGAATTAATATTGAATAAATAAATTTATTCCGATTGGAATTTTATTTATTCGAAATTGATTTGGGTAGAACAAAATTTTGAAGGATTCGAAGGAGAGATTTACAAAATTCGTTGTTCGGAAAAAATAAAAAAATAAATCATAAATGTGAATTTATTTCAAATTTTATTTACGTGAAATTTTGGAATATCTTCGAATTATAGAAAAAGAATTAGGAGCTGGAATTTTAAAAATTTTCGTTGAAATTTTGGAAAAATAATAATTAATTCCGAAGGAAGGGATTAATTCCGAACGTGAATTTAAAGAAATGTCGGCAGAGAAAAGAAAATTTGAGACAATTTCGTAAAAATAAGTAATTAATTTCAAAGTTCAAAAATTTCGGAAAAGGGCTAATTATGAGTTGCAAAAGGATTCCAAAGAATTTGGAAAGAAATTAAGGGTATTCCAAAAAGAGATTAATTAATGCTAAAATATTCAATGAATTTTCAAAAAGAAAAAGAAATTTCGAAGAAAAACAATTACTTAATTTCAATATATTTCAAAGAAATTTTGAAAAGAAGTAACGAGTTCAAAAGTATTTTTAAATTCAAAATTTCGAGAAAGAACAAATTAGTTCATGCAAAAGGGAAGTTCAAAAGGAAAATTTCAAACGGAAAAGATTTTCAAAGAAATTTGTGAAAAGGGTGATTTAATTCTAAAGTATTTTGAAAAGATTTTGTGGAACTAACGAATTATTTGGGACGTATTTCGAAAATAGTACAAACGTAATTTAAAAAGAAATAATTTCTAAAAAAAAATAAAAATTATTCCGATCGTGAAATTTCAAAAAAGGGAAGCTTTAAATTGTAAAGAATTTTCAGAGAGGAAGTATTTCGAGAATATTTGAAAAATTAACTATTTATTTCCAACGTATTTCAAAAAGAAATTTTGAAAAGGGACGATTGATACAAGAGTATTTTGAAAGGAGATAGATTAGCTGGATGATAGGGCTTGGATAACTAACGGGGCGCAGCGGGGGGCGCGAATACGCGCGGAGGGAGGAAAGGGGGAGTCGGGTGGGAAGGAGGATTGGGTCCGGGGGGG